GGGAAGGGCGGGTAAAGCTGGCTCTGCCTCTAGAGAGGCAGAGCCAGCTGTCACTCACAAAGCTGGGCGGATCTCGACATCTCGATCTCGACAAAGGAGAACCTTTAAAAAAGGAGAACTATGGGGTCAGGGCTTTTCCCCATAGTTCTCCTTAGGGTAACGGGAGGACACAAACTAGCGTCCTCCCGTTACCCTAAGCTCAGTATACCGCGAGCTACAGCGGGGAGAGGGGAATCCAGCCCCTCCCCCTATCACGGCTCTCGAGAGGTGAGCTAACCTGGTATGTGTTCGCTCACCTCCCGATCTACTGAGCCGACCTGTGACAGTCTCATTGTCACAGGTCGGCTAGAACTATGAGGTGAGTGGAAATCACTCATCTCATAGTTCTCCTTTAAAGCACAAATTAAAATGCAAAGCAGAAGTATAAACAGGCCAAATGTCAGAGCAGTTTGAGTGCAATTTTCTAACTGTTCTATGATTTCATGTAGGTTTCAACCTCGAGAGCTAGTTTGAAATAGGCATAAAATGTCGTTTTACTGAGCATGTTATATAAACAGAACATTAGAAGTGTTAAAATTGTGGAAATTATTAAAATCAGAGAAATAAATGTGATATGGCCCAAGGGTCTAAAATCACTACTTATCTATCAAGACCAAAGGATGATTTTCGGTTATAAAAATAAGGAAGAATTTAAAATATTAACAAAAACATTCCAGACACCCTTAACCACTTTAAGACCAGGTGTTTAGACCCCCTTCCTGGATGCACTCACCCTAATGGTAAACCCACTTGCTCTGAGCCCAGGATGGCTGGGATCCGCCCAAGCCTAAAGGTGCCCATACACTGTACGATTATCATACGAGAATCGCGGGAAATCCCGCAATCGTACGATAATCGCAAAGTGTATGGAAGGCGTGAGACCGTTCGATCGTACAATTCTTGGCGGGTTAGTGGCACACTGCCCGTTTGCAGTCATCGGAAGCCCGCCCCTCATTGCAGTAATCGCAAGCCCACCCCTCCGGGGGGGCGGGTTTGCGATGATCGCAAGTACGATCTGCCTGTCCAAGATGGGCAGATCGTACAAGCTTTTAATTAGCTTACAGCCATCGCAATACAAAAGTCTTGCGATGGTTGTAAGGCTGCGTTCACACCTGACCGTTTTGTAGGACGTTCTACGCTCAACGAACGCTCTACAAAACGGTCAAAAATATAAATTGCATTGTAGTCAATGCCCTCGTTCCCACCTCGCCGTATTTCCGCCCGTCCCTAACGCCCTACAAAACGGCCCACGCCTGAAAAGGTCCCGTGACTACTTTGGGCCGTTTTGTAGGGCGTTTTCCATTGGGATACAGCCAAGTAGCCTTTGGAAGCGCGCGACATAAAAAAACCGCGCGACAGACGCGCATATTACAATACGCCTAGGTGTGAATGGGGTGTAAGGTGTATGGGCACCTTAAGACTGTATAGTGGGAGGAGATGCAGCACAGCGATGAGCTAATCTATCTGCTATTCTGCTTTTTCTTCCTATCCGCAAAATTTTTGTCAACACATGAACTGATTGGCTCCTTGTACTGCTTCTTCCTCTCACACTTCAGCCCTGCTGTACAGGGTGTTTAAGAGGGAGGTTGATACCAGGTAGAATTCAAGTACTTTCATTGTATTTTTTTTTTTTTTAATGTAAGCAGTGTAATTATGTATTTATGATTACAAAGCTGCATTCGTGTTTTTTTGTATGCCTTATTTGACTAGAAAAATCACATAAATACACAGTTGGAATATAAACATGTGACCTTGACAAAATATTTCTAATTATGTTCAGCCACTGATGGTATTCATCAACTCCTGAAAAACTTCACTAATCTAATACACCTACTGATTGGACAATGTAGCTGTAGCAGTACACTGATTAAGTAATCCTTACTCTGCCCTTTCCTCCTGTAAACAAGCACAGAGTACCTGAGAACATGTTGCACTGATGATACTCAGGAGTGCAGCAGAGCTTCACTGGCTTATACTGCTGTCACTTCATCACTCCCCCCGGTGGGGAGTAAATTAATAAAAAGATGGATGCTTATTCCAGATTATTCCATATTGTTTTTACCATGACCTATGATTTCAGATGTAATATTTACATATAGAAGGAAGGACAGTGTCAGCACCAATTCAGAGATGGTTTGAGAATCTACAGCCGAGTGATACACAAATAAGCTACATTTTTGAGTATTTTATTAAGATACTTGAATACAGTTTTAAGATTTAACACCTGAGTTTATTATGACTTTAAAGAGGAACTTTACCTATATCTTTAAAATAACAACACACGTTTAGAAATGTTTAATAATGACAATCTACAAAACACATACTTCTAGATAATTGCAGCTTTTGTATTCTTTGCCTACGTTATTTTTCTTTCCCAGTCTTCTGACAGTGGCCATTTTAACTAAGGGCAGGTTACTAGATCTCCCTTTACTTCCCGGAACTCTGGCACATATGACTAGGACATGTGACCATGTACATCATCTCAGTGGAGGAAAATGCCTTTCCCTGAGCTCTCATGAGATAACAGATGAGATTTCCCAGCAATGCTCTGCTAATGAAATCTTCCCAGGATGCAATGCTTGGGCACATTACATTATTTGTGCCAAAATGAACCAGGAAGTAGATAAACTAAGTAAATGAAAAATGTGTTTGTTTAACTAATGAATGTAATATGATTTTAAATCAGCATGCAGGGCTGCATGCTGATAGTTTTTTTGTTTTGTGAAAAGGGGGTAAAAGGTCCACTTTAAGTGGTCATATGAAATATCTGGCATAGAAAGAAAGAAAAAAGAAAAAGAAAAAAAAATCAGCTCAACTGAAATGACAGCTTCTGTGATCATCATACTGGGAATTCAATATCAACACTTCTTTATCATTTTGGAGTACAAGTTTGGTAAGGGGGGCCAATACAGTGGATAAAACACTTAATCCACATTATGGGATAATCCAATTAAAAATTGCAGATTTTTTTTTCAAATGGTAGATTCAATGTATGATATACAGTAGTATATTGGCACAGTATATACGTAGATTTTTTTTGTCCCATACAAAATACATTTTGTCAGAGGTACGGGGAAAATGCGGAGGAGGGAGGCAGTACTTGGTGGGTACACCAGTTAACGCTTGCGGTGTGGTAGGTATAAGTACGGAGAGGGGGGGGGAAACGGGGTGGTAGCCTAGGTGTGCGGCTTCCGTTCTGTCTGGACCGGGGTGTCCAACAAGTGTGCTGTAGGGAAACAAAAATTGGAGACGGAAGCGCCACTACCGGGCGCAATAAGTGTGGTAGAGTGGGGTGTAAGCGTAAGTGTTGTACTCCCCTGAGGCTGGGTGAGTATTCGCTTGTAATCGTCGGGTTGCAGTGAAGCGGATGGGGTGGAGTGGTGGTGGTAGTGGTCCCTCTTTTTCAGGGTGGCGTGGCGTTTCAACCCAGTAGGCAGATGGGGATACAAACGCGAGGGGGTGAGGTATGCAATGGTGGGTGAAGGGGTGGGTTTCTGTAACTCACCGTGGGGATAGTGGAGGGCGGCTCTCAGCGATGACGGTGCGGCCCGTGTTGTGCCTGGGCGGTGGGCCGTGGGGTGGTCCTCAGGAGTGCTGGCACAGGTGTCCTCTGATGGCAGGTGCTGTGAAGCGGTAGAGCGACGTCTTGTCCTGGGTGGGGGAGCTGGAGAGCGGTTGGAGGCGCCGGGGTGCCGGAGTGTTCAGCTGCAGTGGAGAAGGATTCACGCTGGGGCTTTCGGGCAGCACGACAGAGCTTCGACCTGCAGGCGTTTGCTGGAGAAGCCTATAGTGCGGATGTTGCGGCGTGAGCCGTGAAAAGCGGGTCAGAGGTAGAATTTCCGGGGGTTGGAGCCTGGTGTCATCAAGCCGATGTGAGGGATGTAAGTTCCGTGCAGCTGATTCTGTGCCACTTCCCAAGGACCAACTTACCAAAAATTATGGGGAATTTATCAAAACTGGAGCAGAAAGAATCTGGAACATTTGCCAATGGCAACCTTTCAGCTTTCTACCTTTCTTTTTTAAAGCTCAACTATACAAACCAAAGATGATTGTTATTATGAGCAACTGCTCCAGTTTCTGTGTTCCAGTTTTGATAAATTCTCCTTCTTGTTCTGCTATAGGTCTTTATGGAGGGGAATTGTCTTTTTAGAGGAGCAGGGCTTTCCTTCCTCATGTCAGACTTGCCCCCATGAAAATTGGGGAGTTTAATGGGTGAACTGTTGACTAGAGGAGGAACTCTAGAGGTAAAAAAAAAAACCTCAGATCCACCTAGAGCAGCAGCACAGGAGGGAAAGGAGACTTTAACAGAAGCACATACCCAAAGAATTAATGAAGTAGAAGTACAGAGATCCTTGTACTACAAGGTCCTCGGGTACAACATTTTCTCCAGCAGGCCCTCACAAGGACAATGAGAATGAGTGACATTACAAACTGTCACTGCAGTTTTCAGGGACAAACTCCGAATCTTGAGAGAAAAGTAGTCATCAGAGGCAGGAGTGGGCAGGATATTCCTTAGGACTCTCACTGCAGACATTGGAGTGCCTAGACTTCAACGCAAAATATTGATTTTTTTTTTTTTTTTAAGGAACTCCTTAGTACTAACTACAACTAACCATACTAAATTATTCCCTACAGAACAGGAAAGTTTTCATTTTTAAGCAGTGGTTTACGTTATAAAAAAATAAAAAAATCCATAGACCCTTATTTTCCAGACATTTGCACTTTAACAACACAATTAATTTGTTTTCATTAAGACTAATGCTGTTCTGGGTCACTAGTAACAGCTTTTCTCCAGAAACCAGTAACATCCAATTTAAAGGCATTACCACATACCTGTTAAAATAAATGAATAATTTTGCACATAACCGGGTATTACAAAACCCATTTGCATTAATAGTCATTATTACTTGGTATATGTTTTGGGGAGTGTGGGAGGGGGGCAGGCAGCTTTCTCAGCTTACCTTTCTTTACTAAATTTCAATGAATGCAGTATGGCAGGCCTCTTCTGTCGTAGATTCCAAAGGTGTAAGGTGTCATCCGTCAAGGCACTCACAAGTGCTCCCTTTAATAAAAGTTATAAAAAAGAAAAAACACATTTTAAAAAATGTTATGCAATAAAAAGGAGGATCCGAGCAGTTCACAAATGTCAAATTATTTAAAGTTTAAACATTTACACTGATATGGTAGCTTGCTCTGCCCCCAGCCCCCTTCGGCAGTCTTACACTTTTGCCCATTCCAGCGAGATGTTACCAACAATGCTGCAAAAGGTGCTTGTCAAATTGTTCTGAGCTGGGCCCACATTCATTCCTATAGAGAGTTTGTGCTATATCAGAGCACGAACTCTCCAAAAATGAATCACCATGAACCAAGCATCTGCTAGCCCAGCTCTGAGGATTTTGACAAATGGCTCTGCAGCACTGGCGTCAGTATCTCTTATCAGGGAGAGGTGAATAGAAGACTGTCAGGGAAGATGGAGGGGAGGGGGGTACAACAAGCTACTTAAGCAGTTGCTTATTGAGTTAGATTACCAAAATCTATTTTGTGGTAGATTTGTGCCACTTTGTTGTTGAGGTCTCTGTGCCTTAGCTCCAGTGTCTGCCCACTTGCTGTAGTCATTATAAAAAGGGTTCCACTTACCTTGTTGAATCTATTTAAAATGATGAAATACATGAAACAGTAGACTCTCTGGTAAACAGGAGCAATCAGGAATCATGGCAGAGAGAACTTGCTGTTGGGATATCCCACACCTAACTCTCAAATGGTTACCCATCACAATGGTGTGCTAGATGTGAGGATAGATAGTGTTAGAGCTCCCTGGTCACTTATAAAGATGTTTAATAGTGCATACAGGCACCACTAGGTACTGCTTTCTATTTATAGTAAGAGTTTAAACAGTTCCAGGAGCCTTTTACATGGTTTAAAGAACATCTACTTTTTCAGAATTTAAAACATTGTAAAAGTAATGGCATGTGCAATATGTGGGTACCCTCATATTGGAGTATTTTATTTTAGTCCTTCTGGCAAAAATCCAGCTGCCAGAAAACTGGAAATATTTTTCCATTAGGAATCACTTCCACCCACCATTGCAGAATGCCTCTCATAGAAAATGTGCAGGTGCTCTTACATATACTGCACACTTGAACTCTACATACATATTTTCAACCCTTTTTAAGTCAATGAAGGCCACTTGAAAACCTTAAAAGCAGAAGCTACAAATGCAGATATAGGAGCCCTTGTTCATGCCAAAGGTTTTGGAACTCTGGTATAAAAAGCGGTTAGGTGGGGTAACTCTAAATCAACTGCTAAATTGATATATTAATATTTTATATGCACCAATGCTTTGAGATGTCCAGACAAGGGGCAAATTATTGGCAAAGATAGATTTAGGCCTAATGTGCAGATATTCAGAATTTGTAGGTGAAGACATAAGCCAACCCCCCAATCATCATTAACAACTGGTAGGAATAGTAAAAAAACACATGATAGCCAATTAGGCACACAATGACTATATATGCCACTGTATGTGGTCAGCATGTGTTTTTTTTGCCTCACTCATAACCCATACAGCTGGTATGAGTAACGCATCGACTTATCATACAGATTTAGTCATATCTGTAGACAGTCCTATCTATTAAAAAGGTATGCCATTTAAAAGGTACACTTTTTACTATGACTCATAGTCCAATCTTTAACTGATTCCCCCGTAATGTTTAAAGTACAGCCCTCTATAATGATAAATGGTTAGGCAAAACACATCAATATCAATTGTAAACAAAAATACAAGCATAAGGGGTGATGAGGTTGTAAATGCACAGTATAAATGTACCACCATGCACCTGCAGAACATGAAACAGGAGAGGAGAGCAACAAAAAGACAAGAGAAGCGATGTGTAAGCCAGTGATGTCAGAGGAAAGATTAAAAGTGATTGCACTAACCTCATTAACCAGAAACTGAAGCTGGATTACTGTAGAACCACTGTCATGCTGGCAATAAGACTCAACTCCTGGCCGCCCAAACCTGACATTAATTATGTTAAGGAAACACTGCTTTGGTTTTAAAAAACAAAATGTAGACACAACAACATGAACATGACAAGGGCTAGAAAGCTGGAAGGCGGCAAGTAGAATTACTATTTTCATAAGGGTGCTTCAGCTAGAAGACACCATTTGTTCATTCATATAAAGCTGCAATTGTAAACAGTCAGGGAAAAAACAACACTTAATACATCTCCACAATATATGTAGCTCACTCCATGTTTTATCCTTTTAAAAACAAACACAGTGCCTGCTAGTTGCTTATATAAAATGACTTTCTGCACACCCATTAAGATCTGTTTAACCCCCCTATACTTGAGCTGAAGGGTGCATTACAGGCTTCAAACAAAGCTGCTTGAAACATGCAGCAAGCTTTTTTTAATGGTTTGCAAATGCTATACAAGCTGAAGCCTCAAAGCTCCCCTCCAGCCTGTAAGCCAAACCCCACCCCCCATTTAAATTGACACTAAACACAGAAGTTAGGTCTTAAAAATGCATTCAAGTACCTTATTATTAACAAAAATGTAGCTAGTTTGAAAAGTTTACACTGTCCTTCCTTCTGGAGATTTGCTACATTTGTTCCCCATGGTCCCTGTGTGTGTTGTGAAGTAGCTACCGGTCCAAGCTCCCTCCCAAGCTCACATTTAGTTAACTCATTTGTAATGAAGGTATAGTCTATCACTGGAGCAAACTTGGACTGGTGGCTATTTTACAACACACGCAGGGACCATGGAGAACAAAAGAAACCACACTCCAGAAGTAAGGACAGTGCTAGTACGAATGATTTGATGATCTACAGTCGAGTGATACACAAGCTATAATTTTGTAAATAGTTAAGAAACTGAAATGCATTTTTTTTAAATGTAACTCCTGAGTTTAATGTCAGTTTAACTAATCACTGCCATTGAAAATAAATATATAAAATAAAAATTTACTTTTGCCAGTAGATGGGACCTGTTTCAACATCTTTTCTAACATTTTGATTTATTCACATTAACACGCGTATGTTCTTATCAAAATACCAGGCGTTTACCCCAGCAATACAGGCACGCCAAGTTCATAGTCACTGGTTTATATCCCCCAAATTATATTCCAGAGTTTGTTGCGCTTGGCAGACATGAAGGCAAGTGTTTGCAGCCATCGGAATGCTACGACATTTCAGCTCAAAACACAATAAATGTCAAACGGTGAAATCTGATGTTTATAGAGTAAACAAAAGAACCAAAAGGAGACTAACTAACAAGTTAGAATAGTGCAAATTGTGCTTTTATACTGTACCATCATTTTGGTCTCGAATCAGAAAGCTAGTGAGTTGAACAAGCTTAGGGAAATAACTTTATTCTTACATTTGCTCTGCTGCCATTTTTGTGAGCAACTGTTTAAGTGACAAGACATGTTTCCCACAGTTATATCATGTTTTCAAACAAACATTATACTACCATAAGACACTGCAGTAATTGTGTACAGTATCATCTTCATGCAAAAAAAAAGAAATTGACAGAGAACTCTTCTTTTTTCTAATAAGTCCCCTTAAATTTGGCAAATGCTTATATGTTAACTAAAAAAAAATGATAAAACACTTTTAACCAACAAAGCATATAAAGTGGCTATGTACTTTAGATCAGTGGTTGAGATTTAATGTGTATCATGCAATACTTAACATTTTCTAGTATATAGTATATATAAGAGATTACATATGTTTCCATGGTGACTTGTGCTTAAAAGGAAGGACCTAAATTCCATTTATTTGTTTCCCCTAAGTAGTAATAACGTGTGTGATCCAGTATGCAGGCTTTGTCTGTGATGACAAATCTTATTCTTGTCTTTTTCCAGGGTATGCTTCACTGCCTAGAGGACTACTTCAAGGTCAAGATATTGCAGCCAGTACACATTTTGAGTTTAGAGAAATAACAGCTCCAGAATAGGCAACCCCTAACATTTAACACTTCCAGTTACCATCCATCTCCTCCTTGGCAACTATGCCATTCCAAAGCTTCCACAATTATGAATTATGTAAAGAACATTTTTCCTAATGGCCCTCTTACAAGTCATATAGTTGTACGGTCTGACATCTAGCAATGTGCATGCAATTTTGAATCTCCAGCTGTGGATCTAGCCTAAATACATTATGCCAGAACAACATGTAGCTAACATCAATTCCACTGCAACTATGAATTCACAGTGTACCAGTGACAACCAAAGACTAACAAACACAAATAAGGCCACCAATCGGATGTTTAAATGGTACAAAAGAGAAAAGGAACATAATAAATTGTGCCAACACTTTTTTTTTTGCTTTGGATGCAGTACGGAATGGTTAAAACCAGTCTTCTTTTTTTTGCCAACTGTGATATTTTAGGTAGTTTTGCCTCTCTTTTAGCTGCCACTGTAACTGGTTTCCCCACTGTAGGATTTCCCCATATATCCTGTTCTAGTAACAGCTGGGGATATAGAGAGGGGAAATCTCCCCAGCAAATTAAAAACCTGACAAAAGGTTCTAACCATTACCTACTTTACCTTAAAGCTCATTTCCACCTTTGCAGAGGTATTTAAAAAAAAAAAAAAATATTGTTTCCCCTAAGTAGTAATAACGTGTGTGATCCAGTATGCAGGCTTTGTCTGTGATGACAAATCTTATTCTTGTCTTTTTCCAGGGTATGCTTCACTGCCTAGAGGACTACTTCAAGGTCAAGATATTGCAGCCAGTACACATTTTGAGTTTAGAGAAATAACAGCTCCAGAATAGGCAACCCCTAACATTTAACACTTCCAGTTACCATCCATCTCCTCCTTGGCAACTATGCCATTCCAAAGCTTCCACAATTATGAATTATATAAAGAACATTTTTCCTAATGGCCCTCTTACAAGTCATTGTATTGTATTGTGTGTAAAGTCAGAGCTAGTGCTTAATGATCATGTAACAATGGGTGACAGGGATGGGTTCAGCTCATTGCAGTCCAACACTCTGGTGTCTGATTGATTTTGCATAAAACCTTCATTAAAAAAAAAAAAAAGAAAGCCTACAATGTGAGCCATGCAAATGTGCACATGCATACATCATCAGTGTACCTCTTCATTAGCACAGGCAATGCAAATCACAAAGGTGGAAATGGACTTTAAACAAAAATTTTTTATAGATTCACTTCATATCCACGTTAAAGTGACACTACACTCAGGAGGAAAAATCTTAAAAATGCATTCAAGTACCCCATTAAAAATGTATCTTATTTGTGTATCACTCAGCTGTAGAGCCTCAAATCATCTCTGAATTTGTGCCGACACCATCCTTCCTTCTGGATGGTGGCTACTTTTGTTCTCCATGGGCCCTGTGTGTGTGTTGTAAAGTTCCCCGTTTCAAGCTCACTCCCATGATGGACTACGATCTCATGTTTAGTTTACTAATTTGTATTGGGATTGTAGTCCGTCATGGGAGCGAGCTTGGAGTGGTGGATACTTTACAACACACCCACGGACCATGGTGAACAAAAGTAGCCACCCTCCAGAAGGAAGGAGAGTGTCGGGATGAATTTTTAAGATTTAACAGTGTCACTTTAACTTTGTAACACAAGATGGATAGCTAGCAAGCTAGAGGCTAGGATTATGCTTTAAAAGTAAAGCAGATATTTGTCTTTTAAACTTTTGATGCAATAATGTACCCTGCAGAGATTTCTACAGAAAACAAACTTCTAAGATTTGAAGATCAATAGTCTAAAAATACTTGAAATTAAATTGCGAGATGCTGTACATGGCAGAGAATCATTTACAAACACAAAGAGGTTCCTGGGGATAGAAAACCATATATCCATCTTTGATGTTAATACACACTATTTACTTACCTATATGCAATGTTCTCCCTCCCTGCACCAATTTGGGCACACTAATGTACTTCTCAACACAGGAAAATGCACAAAGAGTTGGAGTGTGAGTCACAGTTCTAAACAAGTCTTGCAATAGACCCATCAGTGAAAAGAAGCTACAGGCTATAAAACACCCAGGATATCCACATTACAAAGAATAATCATGGTAATAAAACATGTTCTTTACTTAGGCACACACTGCTAACAAGATATGTATTTGCTTAATGTGAATGGTTCTCTTCAAAGCCCTTTTAGCTCAAACTGACAGGTTCTCTTTTTAGGTAACCACCCACCTAAGTAATTTTTTCAAGCTCCCCCAACACCAGAGTTTCATCTCAATGTAAGTGTGATTGTCAATGCTGAAGCTTACACAGTTATTGACCACCCCCCCCTTCCCCCATGTAACAGTGTTTGGGCTTGGTGACTGGCCACTCTAGCACTACATTCTTGGAGAAAGGGGAGAAGGTCAGCATTTAGCTTCTACAGCTGTAAATAAAAGCAAATCTTTGGCCACTGAGCAGGGTATCGCATCTATATGGAATTCTGGCTGACTGCTATACAGAACTTCTATAGTTTAACAATATTTGAAAGGTTACAAGTATAAACAGCTCTTTTTAGTTTTATTTTTCTCAACATTTGCATCAACAGTCTTACTAGGCCATTCAACAGGTTTTTTTTTTGGTCAATTTAAGAATAAAATGTTTGTGTGTGTAAAAAAGAATGCTAGAGGAAGAACTAGATATTACTGGCATCTACTGTCTACTGCCAGTAGACGCTGATGGAACATGGCAGAGGAAATGCACATGGGGCTGCCAAGGAAGGTATGGTTTTATACATGCCGACATTACCCTTTCACCTCAAAATAACATCTCTAAATTAAATTAAACCTAGACAAACCATGCAGGCAGGTTAGGTTAGACCATCCAACACAATGCAAGATTTGAATCTCTTCAGAATGATCATGATATGACTAGGAACTGTCGGTGAATGCGGGCTGTAATATCAGTATATTTTCTAACATTTTTCACACAGGATGTTTTCTGATTGCCAATGTATGATGATTTTAGAATAAGGAGGGACAGAGACCTAATGTGATAAAAAGGGCCTGCATTTTAGTACACTGTG